TAAACTGCTATAAAGAGCACAAAGGTCTCCATAGATCTAGCCTCTTAATGTTTCTCTCAAAGTACACCAGATTGATGCATTTAAGCCTAAAATAGAAAATACATTATGACATCTTTTTGGCATACTATACTTGACTGTTTAATTATTTTTGTATAACACACACTTTAGGCCACTGTGGGGCGTTTTATTCAACATTTCTGAGTGATGGTGCTTCATGGTTTAGATGTCCATCCTGTCTGTTTTCACAATCAGCTGATATCAGTAGCCTACTTTCTCTCCACAGAGTGTTAGTTTTTATCTCTTTACCTCTATAAATCCATTGCTGCTCTGTGTGGACAAGAGGACACCACAGGCGCTATGCCTGTGAACAAAGATCACACTCAAGTGCGCCCTGCCAAACGCTCTTCTGGTAATTTTGTGGCGCAATTGAGCACAGGATCAGAACGAATGCCATAGAGCTCTCCACGTCATGACGCACTGGCAGTTTGTGAAATATGCCTGTTGATGAGCAGAAGAAAATGCATAATAATTAATAAAAGGAAGGGAAAAAATCGTTACATGCGCAGAAAAGCACAGAAAGGTTGTGTGGTCATTTTACAACAGTCTGATGCTGGTGGCACAAAATGTAACCAACTGATCTGTCGTGCGTAATTGTGGCTTAATAGCGCACAAATTCAGTCCATAGAGACTGCAGATTGGTGAACTGCTGCCTTCAGATGGCTGTAAAGAGAGTCCTCATTAGAGGCTGTCAGCAGACATAGCTTTATTCTGCACCCTGTTGGCATCTGGTTGAAAATCCTGCTGTGGAATAAAGTAATTGTTGCTGTCACAACAATTAACTATATGGCATATATTAATTACTGTTTTCAAAGTCATTCCTGTCCATGCAGCTATAACAGCATGGGTCATCTCAGAAAACGCATTAATGCCAAAATAAAAAACCTTTTTAATCCTGTGTTTTGTTCTTTTTTCAGTGCCAAATATATAAATTCTAATAATTTTATTTCAATCAAAATATCGCATACATGGCTGTCAAATATGTGACTAGCTTCTTTTTTTTTTTTTTACAGTTGCAGACAGGAGCGCCCGGCTGTCTGAGCACCAAGAAACCCGCTGATGAAGCCTTTGTTATGGTGGGACATGGTGGGTGTGTCTGCATGTGAGAAAGTGAAAAAAAACTTCCGTTTGATCACTGTTGACTCCATTTGAATGAGACATATGCTGAGGAGCCTCTGGGCACCTATAACCCCCCCCCCCCCCCCATGCTGCCGGTAACCTCAAAGCACAATGGCGATTCTATTGGTTTTAAATACATGCACATGTAGGACCTTCTGGTTATCTGAAAGTGCGTCTATCTCCACATCTCATCACATAATCGCGTATTAACCGCAGGCCTCAGACTTCACCCGCCCAGATCTGATTTATTCGGCCACACAGAACCCCAGACTCTCTGGAGCCGGACCGGAGGGCTCCTGCTGTAAGTGTGAACTCATCAACGAGAGGCTTAATTAGGACTAATTGTTGACCGTGATCTCCCCATTAGCTGGCGTTTGAAGAGCAGCGATGGCGGAGGGGGGGGGCGGGGGGGCAAACAATGCATGTGAAAGGAAGAGCATATGGTCGGTCTTTGTTGACAGGTAAAAAAAAACCATAATGTCTGTATGAGAGGCTCAATAAGAATGTGTTCGTTTCGTGTGTTTTTTTTCTTTCAACAGTACAATCCTCGGTGATTTCGTTTATTGTGACTTCTTTATATGGATTGGTTTGGCCGGGTTTTGGGCCTTTTTATCTTGATATTAGAAGAGATCCATACAATGAGTTGTGATAATGGTCAACTCCCACCTCCAACAGTTCTTTCTTCCAACCTCCCCGTCTTAAGATGACAGACAGGATGATCTATTCGTGTTGAACTAATCCTGCAATAGAGATAATATCATCACCATTATCTTGAAGATACCCAGTGCAGTTGCGGCTGTAGGCCTGCATCTAATAGCTTCTGTAAGCACAGATGAAAGGCAAAGTCCAGTGCTGCAGTATAGAAGATAGACTTTATTCAATTATAAATAGACTTTTTTTGTAAATTATATATACAACTTATATATATCCAATAAAATAAAAACAAATCAAATATCAAATTAAAAACAAATCTGGATTGCACGTGTTTGGATCCTAAGTGTTTCGGTCGGAAAAGTCTCTGGTTGACAGTTTGTTCAGTAGAAATGTGGGTTGCAGATCATGCGATGAGGAGGGGGATGGTGGTGAGGGCGCATCTGCTGCTGGAGGACCAGCTGTGGGTAAAAGGCCGGGCCGGTCGCGGGGTAATGGGGTCGCTGTCCGGCCACGATGTGGTACTGGTGAACAGGGGGCAGAGGCTGGAACAACACCGGTGGGATCTGGGGAGCAAGGTAGTCCTGAACTTCCCGTTTTAGCTTCATCCTCCTGTTCTGGAACCAGGTCCTGACCTGAGAGCAAGCAAAAAAACAACAATGAAATGAAGTTAGATCCAGAGTAATGCAGAATCAGGGGAATCCCTCATTATTTAAACGGGTTTGTTTACACTGAATGTCTCTTCTTACCTGAGTTTCTGTGAGGTTCAGCTTCTGCGCCGTCTTTACTCTCTCTCCGGCATCCAGGTATTTGTGCTTGTTGAAGATCTTTTCCAGTTTGCTGATCTGCTCGATACTGAACTTTGTGCGCACACGGCGCTGCGGCGCGTCTTTCTCCGCGTCGCTTCCCTCGTCCACAGAGAGGCACTCAGATGAGGCCGCCTCGCTCTCGTACCCGGAGGAATAACCGTTCATTTCTGAAACTGGAGAGATCAAAAAAAAGAAGAACTCTGGTTATTAACTGTGCTTGCGCGTAAAAGACCTATGGTTTAAAAGTTAGGAGTTGTAGGCTGCTGTTAAGTACTTACTCGGAGAGGCGCAGCTTGTCGGATGAAAAGGTGAGCACAGGCTGGAGTCCTGCCCGCTGATATCCACTCGCTCCGCCTGCTCGACTGGCTTTAATGCTTTGGGTTTCGGCTGCAGGTAACCCTTGCCAAAAGTCGGCGGGCGCGGCTGCACCATGCAGGGCATGTGGGGCCTGCAGTTCGGCGCGGTATCCACTCCAGCTCCGTGGTCCTCGGCCGGTGCGCCTTGGAGATGGCTCTGGGCCAGCCAGTCCACGGAAAAGTATTTCACCATGTTCGCAGTGCTGCTCAGTGACCTGCACAGTCACCAGATGTCAGAGGGAGTGAGTGTGGTTGCAAACCCACACTCGGCCGGGGGCCAGCTTTTATAGCGCCCTGGCCCCTTGGCTGGCAATTTGCATATGTAGAGGCCCTTGTTAACGCCCGATCGATCCCGATGATTAGGGGTTAATGGCTCGTTATTGAAGTCTTTACATATCCTGTGAGTGTGTGAAGAACTGGCGCCGCCGAGTCTGTGAGAACCCTCCTGAGCTCATACATTTGTCCGCCCCGACTGAAACCGGGGGGCTCTGCAGAAACAGCTGTATCTGCTGCAGAGGTGGAGACGCGCTTTCATGTTTTTCATACAGTAGCACCGGAGCAAAGGTGTCAGAATAACCAGTCTTCTTAGAGGTCTCACTTCAGACAATACAGGTTAACTTGTCCATGACTGATCTAATGTCTCTGGTAATCTCCATGTGAGTGGACGGAAAGCATCCAGAGACGTCGGGAGGGAAGTAGCTAAGTACAGGCCATGCGATTTCATTTCGAGGTGCTCTACTAGAGTATCCATTTGGTGCTCATATAGTTCTATTTTACTACATTTCAGGAGCTAATTTTGTACTCCACTATATTTATTTCACAACCATAATTACTAAATTCATTTTTTTAGATTAAGATTTTACACACAAGGACGCGAAATACTGGGCTCGCCAACTACAACAAGCACAGCTTATTATTACAATTTTAGTACAAATGTTGTGACTTGTGACGAAGTATTTTTATGGTGTGGATATTTCTTTAACATAAATAATGAATACTTCTTCCACAGCTGACTCATCTATTTTTTTTTGGTGTGGGGGGTATTGAAGGAGTGGCTCCAGATTGGAGCACTTAATCCTAATAATAGTGATCCCTGCATTACACAAGGGGACTTGATCTGTGGTAAATGATGCTCAGCTCTTCTGTTGTACTTCTGCACTATATCAAAATGGGGGGGGAGGGGGGATGATGATGATCCCTCTGGATGGTTTTCGTATTGACATGACGTATTGATACCCCGGTGAGCGCTGGCGCCGGCTACCCGCGAGCCAGCGTTTGGCACAGGCGCTTCAAACATTACGAATCAAAGGCATTACAGTAGCAACACAATTACGGCGGATTGTCGGACCGTTCACATGTAAATATGCCAAAACAAGCTGCGAGGAAGCTGGGGTGGGAGAGTCTGTGAGCCCAAACAAACCCGCAATAGGACGCGGTAATCCCTAAATTGGCTCACATACCAATAGCCGCACACATTGAGAGATATTAATAATGCATTAGTTGAGATAGACACTTTTTTTCATCGGCTTTGGGTGTGATCTGTAAAGTGTCACCACGCTGACTGGCGGGATCACATCGTGTCTGTTCGGGGCCACATGAAACGGTGGGACGGCCCGTCCGATTTTGTGAGATCTCCGCTGTGCGGTAGCTTCTGACAATGGCGCTAAACTGATCGTTTAGTTCTGCGACAAAAGCAGATACGAGGCAGGGACCTGGTCGTCTCCTCTATCGGCCATCTGTCGCGGCGGAGGCCGGAGTCCCCTCGGCCCTCTGGAGCTCTTTATCTCTGACGCTTTGAAGATGAGCCCCGATGGCGTTAGATAACAATACCAAAAACAACACAAAAAAGCCACCCGGGACATCGCCTTCACACTGCGCCGATTTCCTCAGCTCTGCCTGCGTGGGCTCTCTCTTTCTGTCCCCACAGGGGAAAGGGCCTGGCAGAAGAGACTGTATTCTAATTTCGACAGGGTCACTAAAGCCTGGATTAAAATAAATAATTAAATCAATCAATTAGTTGTATTTTATCTAACTCACATAGTCAATAAAATCAATACATTTGGGAAGTTGTGGTGTTTTCACAGGATCCATTTCAGGTTATTCATGAACATTTCCTGCAGACCCCAGTAGTCAAGTCAGTCCTTTATTTAAAGTAAAAATACCACCCTCCAGAAATATCCATTATAAGTCAAATTCCTGCATAGGTTTGATTTGCTTGTACTTTTAAAATCAGCTTTGTATTCTTATTTACTATATTATTGCATCATAATTACAATGTATAAAGGTGTAAGCAGCCTTTTCATGTTGTAGAGGATGTACTGATAGAGTACTCTATTGCAGTGCTTCGCTTATGACGTGCTTGCAGGTTTTGTTAAGTAACTATACAGCCGTCAGATAAATGTAAAAAGTACAACGTGGCCCTCTTGAATGATATGAAACAGATAGTGGCATGGAATGGACATATTCAAGTAAAGTGCAAGCAGCTCAAAGTTGTACCTACGGCTGAGTAAGTGTGCACAGATACGTTCCGCCACTGACACTTCATGACTGTATGTAAATATGATTTTGAGTTGATCGGGTTTCAGAAGTCTTTACATACAGGAAGCAACTCAGTTTGGGGCCTCAGAGACGTCAGCTGTTAAACACGGTTAAATACGATGGATTTCCATCCGCTCTATATCAGTGTTAGAGTTTAGGCAGCACCACCCATCCCAAATCACAAATAAGCCCGTTTTGATTTGTGTTATTAGAGTTTTATAACAGTGTGACCCCAAACACACACAATATCACTATAGGACAAAATACTGTACATTTATTGACTATTTGACACACAGCCCATGTAACTTACATACTCCCCTTCATCAGATGTGCAAGCCCAAACATTAAGGAAGTAAAAGCCGAGGTCAGCACAATAAGGATAATGATGCAACGGTGATAAATTGTCCTTCTGGTCAGGTTTGGTATACTGGCTGAAAGTAAAATGTAACCATTACACACCACGGCAAATCGTCCAGTGATAATTAAGAGGAGAAAAATGCCAGAAAGCACACTGAAAGTTCACTATGCAGCTTTAACTCCCAACATGAGGAGAGCTGCTCGCACCACACCTCACATCTCCAGACAGCTGTAACCGGCCACGCTTTATCACGGATATTGTCTGACAATAACGCGCTTTGGCAAGAGGTGGCTTATAAAATCTCATTTATGTGGCTGAATTAGGCAAATCTTCATGGCACGTCATATTCCATGTCCACGGTGTGCTTCACGGCAGAAGGCCGTGGAGAGGGGGGGGGGGGGGGGAGAGAGAGAGAGAGGAAAGGAAAATAAAAAAAATTGACTGAACATCATTCCTCAAATGACATTTTGCACACTGCCATCTCATTACGTTCCATCACTTTCTCTGTAACAGGACGGTGTTGTCATGACAGACGCATAGTCTTTTGCCCTGCGCAACACGTTTACTGATAATAAATGCTGTCACGTCACATTGTGCTGTTTGAATGGGATTCATATTTAGATATTCATTTACCAATCTAGTCGTATAAATCTCATTTTTGTTATTTAAGAGAAACTACACTTTTGTATGTTACTAAAATATATGATCAATAAACACTGGAAATCGAATACATTCTGATTTGTTTTGTCTCGTTTCCTACAAGTCACACACACAGCAACATCAAATATTTCACAGTTTGACATGGCTGGATTCACTTGCTGGGGCCCTCGGGTAAAAATGAGCTGTTGGGCCCCTATTTACCCCCAAATCTGTCACCTTTCTGTGAAATGTGCACAATATTTCCCTGCAGGAATGACACACTTTCCCAGGTTTGCTGTGTCATATGATTAAATATAATTTGATCTAGAAATATGCACCTCTTAAGTACAGTATCATCTTGAAATAATGAACGTCCGGAAACTGTACCTTGACAAGATCATTGTTCAGGACAGCGCCTCAGGATTAGGGTACAAGGCTGCTGTATTCTCTGTCAGAACTGGTTGTCCAATGGTTGAACAGCTTTGAGATTTTTTTGGGGGTGCTGCTGATTTCCATAACTCTCTCAAACATGCAAATCCGACATTCACTCCTCACTTCACACAGTAATTGGCAAGGTGTGCAGAGTTGAGAAAAGGAGCCAGGGTTTGAACTCCTCTTTCTATATCTCTGTTTTTCATTCTTTACACAACTGTCAAATCACACTTTCTGTGCGTATAAACGATAGCAACTCTACGAATGTGGCACAGTGTGAAAGTGTGCTCAGTTATCCCCGTATTTAAACAATCATCGTGCCTTTCACGTTTCAGTGATGGCAGGCTTTTCAATCTGGTTCCAATGTGGCAGCTTTAATGTTTTTTTGCCCTCCAATGTGGTCAGACGATGTGTCGTAGGAACCAGTTCTTCTGTAGCATTACCCAGCCCTAAGGGTCAACAGCCGCGCTAGCTAAATGCTAACGACAGCATGCTAACAGGCTCACAATGACAATGCAAACACATACATACATAATGTTCACCATCTTAGTTTAGCCTGTTAGCACGCTAATATTTGCTAACTAGCATTAAAACGTACGTACGGCCGAAGTCAAAATCAATAGTGGCCGAAACGATCACCGGGGTTGTTACAATTCATCCTGTGTGAGACACCATTCTAAATTTCATGGCAATCCATCCGATAGTTCTCGAGACATCCAACTGAAAATCGTAAATGTGAACCTCACTGTCGCGCGAGAGGAAGAGTCCGGGGACCTCTTAGGGGCTCCAATGAATATTCATACAAACTTTCACAGCAACCCATGCAATAGTTGTTGAGAAGTTCGGTCCACGTATGAGGCTTTAACAGTTAATAATGATTCAAAATGTCAGTATATGAGCCGAGAAAGAATCATAAACTTCACCAATTAATGCTCTTTGTGGAAAGAAATTGCTAATATTAACCTAGGCAAACTATCTGTGTAATCTTAAGAGTGCGAGTGATAAATGAAGTTTGCTTGAGAGTCTAAACTGATTCACTGACTTTAGTTAAGGGCCCTTTGACAGATAGTGAACATGAGACAAAGTTTTCCAGTTCGCAAGCCTCTGCTGCCAGGACCACAGAGGCCTCAGCGGGTCGTGGCGTGGGCCTGGCGCCTCAGTCTGGGCTTGGACATGTGACTCGCTCTGGGCTCTGAGATGTCGCTGGGTCGGGGCTCATTGGAAAGTGGCCTTAACCCTCCTCAGCTTGTCCTGGATCCTCCGTGCTTGTCGCTCGCTGGTCTGCTGGAAGCTGGCGTCTTTGTCGGCGGCCAAGAGGTGGATGTCAGAGGGGGCGAGCCGGGCGATGCGGCGCCGAAGGTAGTCCTGCAGCTCCCGGTCCGGGCTGTAAGGGTACACGGCCTCCTGGAAGGCGTGGACCTGACTCACAACCTTTGCTATGCTCCTTGGATCCGAGGACGGATGGGCGAGAGCACGGGGCGCCACGAAATAGGAATAAAGAGCAGAAGGAAAAGTGAAAACATGAAAAGCATTTCTATCTAGGTGCATATCATACCTATGTTTCCTTCCTGGCAGCAGCATCGTTTTTTTGTCTGTGACCTGATTTGGATAGAGCGGGGATAACCCCGGGTCCACAGCAACCAGCTGCGTCTCTGCCTCCTCCTGCTAGATCTCCTGACCCCAGCATCTGGCTACAGTCGCCTCTCAGCATCTGGCCCGAAATGTCTTTTCCAATCAAACCGCATCCCACGGGCGCCATCTGGCGCAACACTGGCACCCCAACTAGCAACCCAAATCCAACAGCTGTGCCATTACCATCCAACCGCCACTTGTTGTGACCTCAGCATCTGGTCGGCCATATTGGACTGGAGGAGAAGGACACGAGGAAAATGTGGCCTCGTAGCGAGTTGGCCGACTTTGTCATAGACGGATTCTCGGGATGTGGTGGGAGAGCTGATTTTCAGTTAATGACACTAACTGTTAGTATATTGTGTCACTGGATGAGACAGGCAGTAAGCTAATTTCATTGGCTGTATGTCCATTTCACTAATGTCACACCTCTAACGAAAACAAATGAGTGCAAATTGCAGCATGGTTGTAAATCATGGTTGTAATGTAAAGAGGTCTGGGCTTTTTATAAACATATCGATTGCTACAAGCAGTGGCAGCGGCGCTACCGGGAGTCATTTTATTAGTTATTAGATTTGCCTTAGTCCCCCGACTCTACAGTCTGTTCACATACGGCTGTGTTGCCAAATATAATAACAGCAGAGGGAAATTGGCTGATGACACCACAGGGATTGGTGCGTTAAATGACAGAGAGGACACCCATCGTAGGAAGGAGGTGGGAGGACATATGTACAGTATGTGGCGTCAAGACAACAACCTCTACCAAGATGTTGAGAAAGCAAAAGGAGGTCATTGTTGATTTTAGGAGAGTCCAAAAACTGTTCAGCCACCAGTTTACATCAATGTGTACATCAATGTGTGAAAGTGTAAATTAAATCAGATTTGTATGCATTCAGATCTCACACTCTACTGGGATTGTATTCATAAAGCTTCCTCGTACAAAACATTTGCAAAAAAACCATAATAATTCTTAGAATTATGATGTTTTTCTAATGGTTTCCCCTTATAATTAAGACACGGTCCTGGTGTTATTCACACAGCATCTTAGCCGCTAAAAGAGCTCTTGAGGTGAACAACTGTTTGAGGCTTAAGAGTTTCGGAGCAGAGGAGAAAATTGTGGAAAGGCAAAAAAGGTCGGAGATATATTCCGCAAACGCTGAATGACGGCGAGTTCATTAAAACGCTAACAGATTAGATTCGGGTCGATCTCACAACGCAATAATGCCAGAAATAAGACATTAAGTTATTTGGCAACTTTCTAACGCTCACAATGTATTCAACAGAGATTTTCATCACATGAAACAGAATTCATAATTACAGACTTGTCAGACCTAGCAAAGGGGTCAACCACACCTCCTCAACTAAATAATGTCCATGGTGATTGGTCACAATGGATTAGTAATTGTGTTTTTCTAGCGTGTGTTTACATATGATATAACAGAAAATTGTATATAGTGTAGCAATAAAAGCACGTGCCCATCCAATATTCCTCTATCCAGAACATGGATTGCACTGTTGCGACTCATTTGATTTTCCACGTGGTTAAAATGTTGCACTGCGAATCATTTTCATAACAAACAAATTCAACTTTATTGTGGAGAACGTTTTTTTATGATCCAACCAAATCTGTTGCACGTTCGTTTCATGGAAGGTTGATTTTCATACCATCAAATGTCTGCACGAGGTTCAATAAATCAGACAGAAACATCGGTCCAGTATTTTTCCAATTACTGACTACACTATCAATAATAAAATTTGAAAACAATAATTTGACTAAAAAAGCAAAAAACTGCAAAAATCAGATAGTTATGTGATCATTTGTGAAATGAAGTTGAAGCGTAAATCAACAGTTAGCTGTCTGCATGTGGAGCTGACCCGTTTTATTCTCTCAGTATTAAGAAAGGGGGAATGGACAGTGAGCCAGTAATCGGGTCTTTAATCACTTTGAACGAGGTTCATTTTGCAATAATGTCGCGCTCGCTGTGTGTCATCCCTCTTAATACTAAATCAATCAATAATTTGACACGCGTCAACCAGTCATGTTGCAGTTTACATCCACGTCTGTCTTACATGTCATCACTTCATAATTTTATCCTATTAGACATTTGTGTGGAATTATCATAGGTGCCATATACATTTTCGTATGTTATGGTCGAAAATGTGTTTTGTGAGGTCAACTAAAATCTAATCAGTTCATCCTTGAGTCCAAGTGGACGTTTGTGCGGAAGAAATTCCCTCAAGATATTCCTGAGATATTGGTTCACGAGAATGGACCAGACGGACGACCGACAACCCGAAAACATAACGCCTCAGGTCACAGCTATCGAAAAATGATCTTATTGCTTCCTCTAAAAAAACGAGTCCTCTTGCTGCTGCTTGCGTAGCAACAGTCTGTTATTCATACAAACAGACCGTCCAGAATCAAGTGTTCAACAAATCTGTTATAAATTGATAAAGTTGTTTACTGTAACCACGTTACAGTAGCAGCCGGATCAGAGGGACTACAGTAAAAGTGAGTCATCACAGTGCCACGTTAAGGATCAGTGCAGTCATCATTACTTTATAATTATTTGCGTTAGATTCGGTGGCGTGAGGCCATATGAACACCTCATAAATGTGGACGTGTGTTCCCAACGATGGGATTTTGCAGTCGGCTGCGTGAACTGATCAGCAATGAAACTCTTTCAGTGAAAGGGCCACAGCAGCTTGTTTACAGAGCGAGCAATGATTCCCCCTCACCTGAGCTTGGTCCACTTGTAAGCTCCGGTAGTGAGGGTGAAGGCTCCGATCTCCAGCTGCTGGACGTGCATGGCCAGGATATGGGCCGACGGCAGGGTGGGCCTCCTCCTCGTGTGTTCTCCCCCCATCAGACACAGGTCGTCACTCTTCAGAAACACCTGAGGAGAGAGCAATTCATCCGCACAGTAGATAAATGAGTTCTTACTGGGATGGAGCGTTTGAAAGAAATGTCCAATTAAGTCTCAGGCGCTTGCCGTGGTAAACAAGCGAGGCCTGATGTAGCGGTGCAATGCCATTGAAAGACTCGAGAGGATTTTTCCGACAAATTTTAACCGCTTTACATTTCAAAGCCGAGAGAGCATACACAATTCTCTTTATTGCAGCTTAGCAGGAGAGTTGCCAAGAGAGTGATGCATGTTGTTGGATGCATCAGGTTCTTTTGGGGGTAACTTTCAGATGCAGACCCAGCTGTGAGCTCTCAGCACACACGCGAGTAGCTCGAAGCTGTTTTTCTATTGATTTGTTTGCCCTGCAGCCCAGTTTCACAATATGTGACCAGCCTGGCATTCAGTTACAAACAACATGCGTGTGTGCTTGCTCAAACGCACCTACACACACACACACCTGCACAGCTCGTAGCTCCTCCAGGATCTCGCACACCTTGGAAGACAGATGTTTCCAAGCCTGTTGGCAAGAAGGGAGGAAGTTTTATTTAGTAGTGTAGCTCCAAAAGGAAGACTAATTATACCCTGGCTTCAATGCAACACAAGAGTCAATGAACATAACCCGGGGAAATATGAAAGCGTATTATATATTCTCGACACTGGTGTCTCTTAATTGTGGGTTTTTTAAATTGCTCATATTGACGGGCAACACTCCTCCTCACTGCGCTCGCACTCTCCCCGTCATATTTGAATGCGTTAAAGCAACTTTCTCATTTGTGAAACTAATTAAATACCACCCAATTCCATCACCGCTGAAGAAAACATTTAGCTGCAGAGCATGTGACTTATTACAGAAAACTCACGAGCTTGTGTGAGGAGGAATGCATGAGACGCAGCCTTACTGGTAATTGCCTGACAATCCCGTTCTCCAGACCTCCGAGGACCTGCATGGCGGTGGCAAAGTTCCTGGATTCGTAGCAGTGTTTTCCTATCCACAGATACTTGGTCAGCAGAGCAACTTGTGTCTGCAAGGGAGGAGAGCTTGCAATGAGAAAACTAAAATGCCGAACGAGGCAAAACGCAAGAATCTAGTAGGTCTTCACATGCGGTATGCTTAATGCTGCGTAATGAAGCAATGTCCACTGGGAAAAATAAGAAAAATACTACACTTAGTCAGTGTTCAATGCAAGTGTGCACAAAACATCGCAAACAGGTTAAAATGTCTTAAAATATCAATTGCATCTGAGATGTTAAATGGCAGATCCAGTTTAAGTTAAAACCCTGAAAGCATTCAACGCGTCTTCTGAAGTAACACGAGTGTCATCGCTAAAAGCATTTGAGCTTTTCATTTAAAGTTTAAGTCCTGTAAGCAGTTGAAATTGTCAGCTAGTGTGTGAGCGATTGAGAGGAGCTGAACAGTCAAAGTGTGAAAGATGAAAGCAGTTGAACTGTCATTCAAGGGGTAAAGGCCTTTGCTTAACACTGTATTTGTCCTCCTAAAATTGCCGATTGGATTTTCTGCACTTTTATTTTTGCATCCGTCAAAAGCTTTCAGAGAGTTGTTCGACCACTCAAAGCCACCGTGCATACAAATCATCCCAAATGGCATCTGATAAGCAGATTCACTTTGTCTATCACTATACATACAGGTGATTGAAGAACAGCCTGGAATTGGGGATGACAGCAAAACAAAGATGTGCGAAACTTTAGACAGTCGTGGTTGTCCTCTAGGGCAGCTAAACGATAGCTCCTCGCTAATGTCATTCATTCATTAGCCCCATTTAGGATTGCATATTTTTCGAAAACAAAGACAATAATAAAACACATCGGACTCAGCGTGCAAGGTTTCTGAGCGTAACGATTGTTATCGGATGACGGATTAAGAAACCATACCAGAAATACGGGCTTGGTGTGCAAAGGCCTTCAGAGGTGAAAGCAGTTGAATTATCAGCTTGTAAGTCAGCACTTCAAGTAGTTAAACTGTCAGTTGAAGCGTGAAAGATGAAAGCAGTTGAAATGTAAGGGAAGCTGAAGCACCAGAGATAAAAGTTGAAGTACAATGTAAATAGTTGAAGTGTCAGCTGGAGTATTGGAGTCGTCACATCAGTATGGGAGATATCACAAACTGAATTGTATGCACAGATGTCCGAAAAGAGCTGATTATTTAAAAAAAAAAATGATGAAATGGAATATCTATGTGAAAGAATGAGTAAGTAACTAAGGGACAAGAAAAAGTGACCATAATAATAAAATTACATTCATTTTCATTGAGTTTCTCAGCTTTTTGTGAGACAAATGAAAGCCTATGACATCCTACATTTAATGAAGAACTGCTCAAGGGTTTGTATCTCTGTGTTCCTAACTGTCTATGAAGCATTCAACCATGAGGCTGGAGAAGCAACAGAAAGCACATAATGGGGAAAAGTCTGTGGCTGACATGAGAGTCCGTGTCCCATGATGAGAAATCAAAGCAGAGGCTGTGGCTGCCCCGTTGGTTTCATGAGTTATGTCTCCTCTCACCTTGACGGAGTCACAGATGACTATTTCAGCAGAGATCCAGTTAGCAACACTGTCAGCATAAGTGAGCAGCTGCTGGAGGTAGCTGTCTGATGGCGTCTCCTCACATTCAAGTGGACTGCTGCCCTCTGCTGGCGGGAGATGCTGAGACACATTCCTGGTGGAGGGGAGGGGGGGGGACAGAAATGATTACTGAAACATTAATACATTGATTTGTTCATTAACTACCAGGAACTTTTATAATTGATTAGTTGTTTTAGTCAAGCAAAAAAGAGGGGTCATTTGCCCGGCTGCTATTTGCCTACCACTGTCTCCCATTCATTATAACGTGTATGCTTAGCAGACGCTGCCGCAGATACATAAGGACAGTTCACTGTCACACACTGACACACACGTTACCAAGTCAACAGGACCTCGTATACCATGCAGAATGGGAGAAAAAAAAAAAGAGGAAGAAATCAGAGAAACATGAAGAATGTGAAAGCTTCCACTCAGGACACGAGGGCTCGGTGAATAGAAAGGATGTGAATCAAATGCTGTGGCCTTCACTGTTTCCTCTACTAAGTGTGTAATGCTGGAACAATGCACTCACTTGTTCGGGGTCCAGACCTTGTCCCCGACTCCTTGTATTCTGGAGTTGAGAAAATGAACCGGATGACATCCTTGGAACATCCCCTACAAAACAAGATGTATAACTCTTGTAGTAATAATGTAGTAATGGGATCAGGAGTTGACTGTTTTCATCAGGGTCTCGCTACGCATTCGTAAAGGCATGCTTCCCTCTAGTGGTAAAAGAGAGACGACAACAAATAGAGTGCCGGGTGTGGGGGTCGAACCCGTGCACCGACCTGCTGCAGCAGGGTGAGCTGCTGGGTTACGTGCTGCGCGCCGTTTTCATTCCAGCCGAAGGGGAGTCGCTCCTCACTTTGCAGGCAGACGGCGGGGAGGTCGTCCACCGGGGAGCCGTAGCAAGGCACGGGCAGGGCGGCGGCGATGGAGAAGGCCCTGTCTTTGGGCAGGGACGCAGAGGACTCCACCACTCTGGAGAACCTCCACTGCAGAGTTGAGAAAGAGATTTGACACATGCTCTGACTCAAGTAAACACACTGGCTAATACATGAATATAAGGTTTCATGCAGGGTGCTCTTGTTCAACAGTAGACATTCGTACTTAAAATACAGTTCAAAAAGTCAAGATGTTCTCTAAATGAAAGCCTAAAGATGTACAGTGTGTCTTTTATTTTGGTGGGGCAGTGTTTGCATGTGTGTTGTCCCCAACAGAAGAATAACGCTCAATACAGAGAGAAAAAAAAAAAGATTGGGGAAGAACAGAGATTTTTAGATTATGACAGGTGATTATTAATAAAATCCCCAAACAAAGCAGAGCGTAACTCGTCACCATGTAAGACCGACCTTTCTCACAAGATCCTCATTAGACGAATGCACACACATAGAATCATCATCTTCCTCAAAGCTGACCAGGCTTCCTCGTCCTTGGATCCAAGTCGTACAAGGGAGGCTGTGGAGAGCGGCAAGAAGGGCCTCCCCTCGGCTGTCTACAGGAATCACCTGTGGGTGGGGGGGAAACACAGTTTGTCACGGAACAAGTCATCTCCGTAGAGTGCAGAGCAAATTGCATGCTTATGTGTGTCTACCTCAGCATTAAGGAAGTTTTCCAACGTATCCACAAGGCTGGACTTTGGTGTGAAGTCCACCTGTTTACAGTCTGTTATCCAGAACTGGAGCAGGTCCAAACTGCGATGGAGGATCTTTACACAGTCTCCCGACATGTCTGGACCTTGTCTGCCAGGGAAAACAAACATTATGCTCATGCAAGCAGTGCAAGACGTTTCATACTGTGTGCTATTGGGCATTGCCGTTTGTAGTTTACAGGAGAAGCCTGACTGGAGATGCTCCTGCTTTTTGTTGGCATGCTGTACTGTGCATAGTTGTTTCTATGTGTTCATGTGTTACTGGGTGTGCAGTACCTTGCGGCACAGATGAATTTATCCATTATGAACTGCAGCAACTCCTCGGGAGTGCAGAGGAAACGATAGGTGTACAGGAACTGCTGGATGAAGCCCTCCACGGCAGCGTTTCTGTGACGAGGAGCATAGCGACACGGAATTAAGCTCAGAGAGCAACACGGTTCACAAGATTAAAAAAATTAACGAACATTTTCAACAGAATGTGAAAAGGTTACAATGTTGACGTTATGTCAAAGACGTCTATGTATCGCGTTGCAGAGATTCTACTGAAATGAGCCCAGCTAGCACAGCTAGCCCAGCTGGCACAGCTAGCCCAGCTGGCACAAGTCCTAGATTTCACTCTTTAATCCAATAAACAAACTATCAGTGTGCACAAACTGTACAGTCCCCGGCTAGGGGCAGAGTATGGACTTAGTAGTAGAGGTGAAATGCTGCCCTCTACTTGTTTGGAGCATGTGGCCAGATCTTACACGGTCACTCTTCAATAAAATGCAGCATTGATCATTCCACTGTAAATCAAGGATTACAGTAACACAAGAATGAACAAGGAATTGTTTTTTCTATATAGTTCCTCATCCTAGTCAACCTAAATGTTTTTAGTATATTCCCTCAACTCCTTCCAGAGGGACCATTCCAGCGCTCTCAGACTCACCAGGTGCCCTGATGCGCCCTTTCAGTTGCATCATACCAAAGCCCCCAACAATCACAACATTAGTGTTGTAGTGGGTGTCATGTGAGCTGCCAGACAAATGGGTATTCATTCAAGATCCAAAAAAGTCAGAGGTTCTTCAACCACACACGCAAGTATTCACATAATACAACTTATTTATCATCTAGCCAAAAAGGGGGGATTTTGAAAAGTGAGGGGGGAACATGTTCCTCCCATCCCCAGAGGAAATGATCCCCTTGTTTAGTTCTTCGTGTGATTGGTGCTGTAATTTGACTGAAATGCTAACACATTTACTCATTTGTTAAATAAGCCACCGTTTGCAGACACACGCCGAAAACAAGCCTCATCAACTCCTTTAGAAGTAAAACAAAACGGCTTCAGCTTCAGGCAGTTGGTGGCTACAAAAATGATGGAATGTGTCCCTGTTGATGCAGTTTCCCGTAGCAATAGATACAAACCAGATGCTCGGGAGCAGCAGTGATAGCGTTAGTTTCTTCAACATTTTGATGTGTGTGTTGGTGGCAGTGGTTAGTACACCTGTGGTTGTTTGCACTGACCACAACCCACTGACCTTCCTGAACTCGTTGCAGTGTTGTACCCAGAGGCCAATCAGGTGGTCACTCTGTTCTGCAGTCTTACCGTCTTGATATTCGTTATGTAAAGGGGACCGACAATGTGGTGGCAGACGCGTTGTCCAGGGCTCCCCAGTGATAAGGGTTTGTGTGTTGCTCTCCTTGGTTCTCCTCTTAAACTGCTTCCAATATGCTGGGATGGGAGTCTGGTGCAAGGGATGTTGGACCGCTGGAGAAGGTCACTGGCTCACCTCAGATCGCTGAGCTTTTTAGACGGGAAACAGAACTTTGGTACCTGGAGGGTGTCGATCGCCCCGGTTGGATTTGAGGTTTATTACCATCTTTATTTAAATAAATTACTTATTAGTTGCCTTCAGCCTGCGTCTCCCTCTCTTTTGTCTCCAGAGCCAAGTTGTGACAACGAACCCTAACGTCAAGGATCTTCTTCAGTTTCTTGTTGCTAATTCGGCAGTTGTCTGACCCAAGTCTTTGTGAAATCCCTTTGTTGGACAAATCAAAAGCAGTAGGGAAGATAGAAAATGGAACATGGAAAAACGCTTTGAGACCCTAATGGACGACTAGAGAAAAGCAACGGCTGGCACATTTCAAATGAAAACACTCATCATCATCATCATCATCATCATCATGTAAGCCTCACAGGTTTCCATAAATCACGGTTCCACCTGGACCGTGGTCGTGCCTCCTGCCATGGCCCTGATGATACCCACCGCTACTATCATTATTATTATCATCATTAGTCACATTACTATTACTGATAACATTACAGCCTTTCTTATCATTATTATTCTATTATATCCACTGCTGCTGTTATTATTAGTAGTTGTCATTTTTCCATCATTATTCTGCTTCCTACTCTCATTATATGAATCATTATGTCATTATGCATTGAATGTGTTATAACTCTGTTATGTTGTTCATTCTGTACACATGACATCTATCACACTTCTGTCCATCCTGGGAGAGAGATCCCTCCTCTGTTGCGCTCCCTGAGCTTTATTCCTTTTTTTTTTTATCCCCGTTAAAGGATTTCTTTGGTAGTTTTTTGGTGGTTTATGGAGTTTTTCCTGTACCGATGTGAAGGTCCCGGGACAGAGGATGTCACATGTGTACATATTGTAAAATCCTCTGAGGCAGATTTCTGATTTTGGGCTATACAGAATTGAATTGAATTGATTTCATCAATGATACCTGGCATAGAGGTGAGCCATGAGGCCCAGAGGAGACCCAGCTTGCAGAGTGCTCTTCCCTTTGCTGGTACCAAAACTCAGGACAGACGAGTCCTCAGAGGACTGGAAGTCCAAAGATCCAGGTCCACAGACAGCCAAAGCAGGCAGTAATGAAACCTCCAAACCCCACTGGTCCACACTCAAAATCTGCAGAAATGCAAGAAATGACATCAAAGGATAGGAGAGCCAAGTTGTTGTTGAAGTGAATGAGAAAGAGTAGTGTTGGGAACGGTAGTACTTTGTAAGTACCTCAAGGTATTTCTTCACACAATCTAAGAAGACCACTTTGGATCGGAGCTCCTCAAGCTGGGACTTGAGTTTGGACAGCATCAGTTTGTTGTCACCTTTGGGTGACACATACACTGTTTTAGAGATCACACTGGAAGCCACGCGTGCCATTTATCCGTACGCTAGCAGTGTCATGAAATGGGTAGCCAACCTTTGTTTTTCCTCTCTTGTTGAATCAGCTTCTGGAAGAAATTTCTGGTCTTCTTCAGATTCTTTGTTTCGATCAGCAGCTGCTGCTGCAGTTCCTGCAGGAAATCACGCAAAAATCACAGAAAAAGGCCTTAAAAGAACCCCACAAGCCTTTCACTGGAAAAAGCCTTTCAGCTGTTTCCAGCGCAGCATTTCTACTTTCCCTTTTTTCTTCCTTCTCTCTTGACCGTGGCAACACCAGAACACAAAAGCTCTTTTGAAGTGAAATGAGTGAGAAGCCGCAGCAGCGCGACTCTTAATGTAGTGTTATTATCCGTTACACAAACCCTCTGAAGAAGCGGCGCTGCCATCAAAGTGTGCACAACATTAATATTCAACATTAATATACCACGGCAAGTTCCTTTGACAAGGGCTCAGTTCAGCACATTCATATTCAGATCCAGTATGGAGAGAACAATATGCCAATTATCTTTAGGTCCCCCACGTGTCCCAGTCCCATTTACCCCGAAGGCTTGACCGTGCCCCACTTCATTACAGATAGCAACATAATTCCTGCACTTATTCATAAAAGCCGACCATGTGAAAGGGCTGAAGGAGTGTGAAGCTGCGCTCAATAAGCACTTGGATGAAACATGACGGACAAAATGCACAAAGAACGGAAATGAAAAAACTGAATCTGCAGTTCATCAACATAAAGTAATGAAACACAAAGACATAACGTCAGAGGATAACTTGATGAAAATATATATGATTTCCTCTCTTTTTTGTTGTTGTTGACAACCTGTTTTCTCTCTCCTTTTTAAAAAGCATCCACTCTTTGATAGAATATCAGCTTTTGCATTAATATAAACCGCATGCATTACTGCATCATGCTTTAACAACACTTAACGATATGCATTTCACTGTGTTGATGTAATAGAATCTGATGAATAAATAATGCAGGCTGCTGTTTGTTCAAACACACAGGGTTAAGGTCAGACATGACTCACTGGCAGTAAGCTCCACAGGTCTACCCACCAGTGTTTTCACATCCAGACACGGCGCTCCCATGTGCTGCCCCAGAGTCACTGCGTACTGGATCACCTCAGGGCCAAAGCACTCTTCCCCAAAGAAGGCCAAGGCCCAGGCCGGGCCCGAGCTGAGGCCCGGCCCCTCCGCTCTGGATCCGGGCGAGACGAGTAGCTCCGACACCAGAGAGTCGCTGTCCTCCATGTCCTCTGAGCAGTCGGGGCTCATCTGCTGGTCGCGGGCCCCCGTGCGCCCTTCCTCTCTCCCCGACGGGAACTCTTCAGAGGGGCTTTCATCGCTGCCCCCCGCTGAACCGTGCTCTCCTCCCTCCATGGCCATCGCTTCCGAACTGTCGGTGCTCATGCCTCGACCCGTAAACAAGGACAGTGGAGAGAGAGAGGGGGAAGAGAAGAGAAAGAGACTGAATCACATGGAGATAAAAAAACAACAACAACAAATAAACTGGATGTGTAAAGAAAAAAAACAAGTCACAGATCCAGAGGTGGTGCTGGGGGTATTTGCTGCTAACCCTGTCATGGGTGCACAATGCGCCGCCTGTTTAAATGTTGAACTATCACCATCTCTTTATCTCGAGTATCGTGTAAGAGTCCGATTGTGATCAAGACCACATGTCTACCTCAGTTCAATAGCCCAACAAAAGCAGATGTGAGGGTGTGTTTGCTGAATGTTGGTGGCCACGAATGAGTCCCCGAGGAGGAAAAAAGGAATCTGAAGAGTTCGCTAGCCTGCCTTGGACTCTCATGAATGCGCTTCAATCTTAAGAACAGCATCCAACAGCCAGTCACAGCTTTCATTCAGTCTGCAGCCAAAATGAAGTGGAATGTAACAAAACATCACAGACTGTCTGGGGTTCAATTGTATTTATTTAAATCTGGAACCAGTTTTGAATCTACTTCTCACATGCAAACTCTCAGAAATCCCTTAATGAACCTATTTAGGTAGTTTGCTTCAGGAAGAGACACTTAATTAGTGAAACATGTTGTGTTTTTTCTATTTAACTCAATACAGCAGTAATCAAGTATGTTAACTGTGATCTTTGATCTGAGGGACTTGAACTTTACTTGACAAAGGAGAATGAAATGGAAATACCGCAATTCAGAGGAAGATATTGCAGTTTTTTACTATCCGACAGCTTTAGTTACCAAACATTGTACAGATAAAGATTTGACTTTTTAAATATGATGCACTGTTATGGATTCAATTTTTAAAGAATTAGGTATTATATATTAAGTTTTATTTGTTATATATATTATATTTATATAACAGTAGACTTGATCTTTGCCAAAGCAACAACATATATATTGAGTATCTAAGTCTATATCCATACCTTGAAAGATGCAGGGTTGACTCTCCTCCGATCTTAAATCGAAATCTTCGAGAGCAGCCTCCTCTCCTCCCTGACAGGGCAGGGCCTCAGTTCCCTCGGTACCCTCGGTTCCCTCGATCCAACAACCCACAGCAGCAGGACTGGGCGCGTGAACGTTCCCGTTCAGGTCGAGATGACCGCGCAGGCGGACCTCTCTCTCCCCTCCCCAGGCGGTGGCTGCCAAGGGTGGAGTGAGGGCTGCCCTTTTCACAGCCTTTGATGGAGGCTGCTCATTAGAGCCGCTGCAGGAGAGAGACAACACACACACACACACACACACACACAGCGAGTTCAAAGCAAGCCACGATTAGCACTTATGTAAAGAACCATGGCAATCATATGCAACAGTGTGTGTGATTAAAAAAGTTCACAGGTCAATCTGGAAGATGGCGTGCCAGCAGCGGTTCCTGATTTAATGTGAAAACACAGCAGAACACATCGCAACAACCACCACACAAGGAGGCCAACCAAAGACTCATGTCAAACATCTCGCAGATCACGTGCACTTTACAGCAACCACACAAATCGATCAGCGGAATGTAATTGCACCGGGACAGGACGGCGTCCACTCCGTCTCTCTCGACAAGAGAGGCTACAGTCCTCCCTCCGTCCCCTCAGGGGAACTGGAGCGCTGGAGAGAATAACCGTCCACAGCAGAGCCCTGCGAGCGAGAGCATCTAATTCTAGGCTGTGATGTCTCCCGACCGCGGCGAATTAAAGGGTCGCTCCGCATATTGCCCCCGAGCGTAAGAGCAGGGGCAAGCCGGCTGGATGAAAAGACGTCTGTGTGAACTGACGCCCCCCCCTTTCCCCTCAGCATATCAGTAACAACACAGAAGAGGCTTTGCAGGCATCTTCAATGTTTGCCACACATCCACATCCTCCCCAGCACGAACAAACACACTTCATATCAGTTACAATAGCCACCGTTTAAGCTGCGGGCTTAAGTTTATGTATGAAGTGCTTATTGTCTAAACACTCATTTGAATGCAGTGTATGGGTGTGCAGAGGAGGAGGAGGACAGGTCACGGTGAGCTGGGGCTGGTTCTATTCTTCAGAAACCACATAGGAATACTTTTTTTTTTTTTATCTGACCACAAGCAGCCACATTTGAGCATTTCACTGTTTGGACGTAAGCCACGGCTAATTTATTGTTGACAAGATATCCTTTTTTAATTTAGGGTGATTATTCTGACACCAAAGATTGGATTCATTAGTCAGTCCAACCCCTGAAGAACAGTCCTTCATTTTAAGGATTAAAAACTGATGCGTGAAAATAAATAAAATAAAATAAATAAAATATATTCCAGAATCTGAACTGCTCTATGGATGATTGAGTCATTAAACTGAGTGGAACTTTTCACATCGAGTGATGATACTGGAACTATAGCAGAAGCAGTGTTGTGGCCCGTCACTATTTAATCAGTCTCTGCTAAACTGAACGGCCACTGTGCTGTTCAGTTGTGCTGTTTTGACGTTTGAAAATATAGAGTGGCATATGTTAATTACAGTACACTGGTGCTGAAGATACCTCATTGGCATAATCAGGTACAGGTAGCCTCGATAATTCATTCATATTTGCCTCTCTATGATGTGGGCAGTGATTTATGTCTGAAAAAAAAACTAATTATCAGGTGCTACAATATGTGAATCAGGGCTAACTGTCAGCATTGAATCTGTTTTTATGATTCAAGGAGTAACGGTCTTGTCTGTAAAATGCCTAAATGTCAAATAAATGTCAGAAGTCCTACTCACGGTGAGGACGGGCTGTAGTTAACCAGGCAGTGCAGCACACCCAGCAGGTCGTCTTCCCAGTACAGATCGCTGAACCTCTCCTTCACAACACTGGCAAACGTGTGGTACTGGAAGTCCTTCAGAGAGAAGATGCACTCGCCTCGGGAAAAATGAGAAGAAAACGGATCTTCTAAATGAACATGTCCTCATAACTAAAGGCAAGGATGATGAAGTGGGTCATTGTTTTGTCGTTTCATGAAAGAATGGCTGGAGTGAAGGATTGTGCAGACTTTTAAACTGCATTTAAAGATACATACCCATGGCTATGTCCTCATGTCCATTGTCCAAATGCCCATGAAGTGAAAACTCTCCGCTGAGCAGCTCGATCACCTCCCGCAGGGCAGGGTGGACATTCGGGGAGATGGACTCTGAAGGAGGCTGGTTCTCAGCCTGTGTCCCTGGATTTGTTTGTCCATTGCAAGCTCTGGGTACACCGCGCTCCAGGGGGCTGTCAGAAATGATGGAGCTGCCATTGAAATAGGATGCTGGTGGGCCACACTCCCGGGGTCCGGGCCTCACGGGCGCATTCAGACAGTTGATGAATGGGCCGTCAGCGCTCTCTGGACCTGTGATTAGTCCCTGCAAAGGCTGCGGCACGAGGGAGAGATTTATATCCAAACCGAGGAGAGACTCGGGAGCCCTGACCTGCACAGGCACTAAGGAAAGACGTCCCGTTGTGGGATCCTGACGGAAAAGGTAATTGTTGAAAACACCACGGCCACCGAGGTCAGCGGATAACGGCGGAGGAAGAGAGACTTCAAGACAGGAAATGTCGGGGAGAGTGGAAGCAGAGTTGACTGGCAACTTGTAGCCGGAAGTTGTAGTTATGACCGTCTGATGAACAGGCAACTCCTGAGTATGTAGATCAGGTTTGGTCTGTGCAGGACATGGGTAGTCAGAGTGACCGTGTGGAGGGAAATCGAGGCCCCTTTCCTCCATGTGTTGACTGCTTTTTGTCCTGTAAAATGAACAATCCCTAATAAGCTTTATCCTTTTAAAGATGTGCAGTACTTTCTGAAGGTATAAGTGTTACTGCTCTCTCTTCTTTTAATTTCTTCTTTTTTAATCTTAAAAAAAAAAAGTCCTTGTAAATTTTGCTCAAAATTTGAAGAAACAGGCTTGTTCCCTTTTTTTGCTAAGGTTTATGAGGAGACTGATACCACTGTCAGAAGTTAGTTTGTCAGTAGCCAGATAGCGTAGAGCTTTATAATAAATTATTTCACGCTATTCATGAGCGTGTGGAGCCAGCAGGAAGTCAAATGGCTCAGATGTAGTCCATCAAATATGTCCTTGAAAAGAAATAAGTTGTCTCTTTTACATTTATGCTTTTTTTTGTAAACCTTTGTACAGAGACAGGCTAGCTGTTTCCTCCTGTTTCCAGTCTTTGTGCTAAGCTAAGCTAACAGTCTTCTCGTTTAACTCTCAACAAGAAAGCAAAAGCATATAGCCAAAATGTCGAACTATCGCATTGTAAATGAATTTTAACTAGAAAATGCTTTTTAAAACAGATACATCACTAATACAAAATCAAATTAGAATAGAGATAATAGATGTCATTTTCTTGAACATCCTACCCTTCAATGGCAGCCCCACGGTCTTGGCTCTCCTCCTCCGAGTCCCCCTCATTTGTCAGGATGATGGGGGTGAAGTGTGTGGCGGTGGAAGTGAAGGCCTCTGGGAGTCGGAGTTCCTTGCTGACTGGATAGCTGTGGGGAACAGGGCCAGTCACAGGAGCCAGTCGGCTCTCAGTGGCCAAGGGCACAAAGCCTACACACAGTTACAACAACGCCAGATACAATATCAGTGATATTGTCTCATGCAGTGAGAATTACACAGAATGTGGAAATTAAAAAAGAGAAAGAGCTGCTGGTTTGGCATGATTCCAGTTGAACCCATGCACTTATATCCTGCATCTTCTTCATCATTTTTAAAGACAGAAACAAATTGGCGGTGCCTCTTGACAGCAAGATTCAAAGGGTCTTCCTAATGTTTGGCACATTTAGTGTATGATATACTGCACATTTCAAGGTAAACTACATTGCATGAGGGTCATCCATACCAAAGTAAAGATGTCCTACCGCTGTTTCGTGCAGACTCTTCATCACATGAGCTTTGTTGAGTGTCAGTTGCACTCAAGTCATCTGCATTGCTGGATTTTGAGGCTGGCTGAAAGAAAACAAGACTTGGATTCGTTACAATGCAGAAAGATCCTATTTTACCACGAGAAAGAAACGGGAAGGACATCAAGAGGATGATCACGAAGAAACAGACTGACCCTTGGCATTGAGGTTTGAATACAATAAATGAACACAAAGGGTGAAAATTCATCTGTGGGGAAAAACAATAGGGACGTTTACCGGGTGAACTCTGCTGATGAGGTTGTTCCACACAGCCTCAGCATTTGTCCCTCGACATGATAAGTAGTCACGACAGCTCTGGAACCGCAGGAAAACAAATGTAGTTTCAGTACGGGACACTTCCGCTCACAATCTCACACACACACACACACACACACACACACCAACAATGTCAGAATTACGTTGTGCCCTGAAATAAAGCATTTGAAGGTGAACCGCGACTTTCACACAATTACCGAAGCATATAAATAAATCAGTTGTTTTTTAAGGAGTCCTTTGTTGAGTAAATGGCAGAGTACTTTTACAAATTGGATTCTCTATATTTAAATCACTCGTGTGTTTCTTTCAAACAGGATGCGTCTATGTAGAAAGGTGCTCCTCTCTGAAATTGTGCACGTTGATATGCAGAAATCCAATCAGGCTTTCTTTACAGAGAACTTCTCCTTCAATGAAATGCAGTTCAAAGTGCTTTTAAAGGCAAGACATAAAAGGCAGAATGGCAAAATAAAATAAGGCAGCATTACACAATCAACCCAATGTAAAAGCAGAAAATAAATCAATAGAAATGAAAAGAAAAGTAAAAATGATTAAGAATCCAAATCAGTTTATTCTGAAATGTGCTTTCACTGGGTGCTAAAGCCCAATCACAGGAAATGATGAATAAACATGACATTCTCCGCACAGTTAACACGAGACTAAGGGTATACAGCCTTGCTAGCATGTACAATGTCTTAGTTTTAGTAGCATACAATGTGAGCATGTCAACGTGCTGACATCTATGTATGAAGTCCTGTAATGGGCATCGACTAGTAATAGTAAATCGGACTCAGACAACCGGTGCTATACTTGGAAGAACTGTAAAATGTAACTGTGGTAAGTGGAGTATTTCAAAAAAGTCAATATCCCTCTGCTTCCGCTTCCCTCTATAAATGTCAGCAGTTCCACCCACCTCTACTTCAAACACTGTTTGAGTGTGAGGCACAACTGGGAGGAGATGCTTCTGTTTAAACTGTCAGCCTGTTTGTTCTCCACCAGGTTTTTGTATGCTTTGTAATAAAACCATGAATAAACAAGGCAGAAATATTCATCGCAGCCTAGAACTTAAACTTGGGCCGGGGTTGTGAGGGGCTCAGATCCGGCACACAGGCCTAACCTCTTCTATGTCTATGCATAAAAAAACATCACAGTAGAAACCATAATCACAGATTCAAAATAAAAACTAATACTTTTTTAGCCATGACGATGGTCGGTCTCTCAATGGGCGTCCTCTTTGCCATCTCCAGCAGCAGTCTCTTCAGTTTGCGAGGCATGGCCAGTTTTTGATGAGGTGATAAACTGAACTTGGTTGCAGCCCAGAGAATAGCAGCGACCCCATAGACACAAACCTGAGCCAAGACAGAGGAGAATAGAAGAGGGCAGAACCTAAAAGCAGAGCACATGATTGGTGACAGTTGGTTTTAAAAGATAAATTGAGCCACACAAACCTTCTCAGTCACAATTCCATGCTCTTGATATTCTGGAGCGAGATAAAATGCATCTCGGGATCCTGCAGAGAACACAGAGCGTCAGTAACTGAAGTCAACAAAAAACACTGCTGCCTTATACATACTTGGGTAAAGAGTGCATTTTCTTACAAGATCTATTTTGCATGTAAACAGCTAAATACAAAAAAAAAGATGGAACAATATGAACATACCCATGTTTTTAGGTTTCAGGAAAAGCACTTCTCCCTCGCAGCCCACATGCAGTGTGTCCAGGCACAGATAGGCTAATAATACAGAGAGAAATCAGCTGCACGCTACAATTGCGGGGCACAAAATTCAAGCAACGCCACATATCATTTGCATAATTTTGTAACTCTCCTTCGGGCCAGCCCAAGGTTTAACGAACAAAGTGGTTCAAATCACCTGGAAAGTCGATGTAGGTCTGCAGTGAGGACAGGCAGGTGTAACACAGAGCCCAGAGCTCATTGACCGTCAGCCTCCGTCCACACCGAGTCAGTAACTCTCTCAGAGAGATCCACTGGAGAGAAAACAAAGAACAAGTCTGAGTTTAAAAGAGGGGTATGTTACACTTAGGAGCTTCAGTTGATCCCCAGGTCGGCCCAAGTAGAAACTGCAGTAATCCCAAACTCGACTTCCTTAAAATCTATTTTTGAGGGTTCAAACCTACATCTCCTTTTGAAGATTGTTTTGGTCCGTTACTGTGGTTAACGTGATTACTCTGACTCTATGAGACTTAACACTTTCCTCTGGAAAACCATCATGGCAAACCTATTTAAGACGGCGTGAAGTATCTTAAAGTTTATTCCTGACTTTGGAAATAGGTAGACAAATAAAAGTAGAAAAATAGTAAACAAAACATCATGTTAAAGCTGCTAACTTCCAAATTCAGAGCATATCTATGATCGAGGGACTGCCTCCACACAGCTCTAAACATGGCGACAGCTGAGCCAGTGGCTAGCAGCTAAGAGCGCTAACAGCACTAACAGTGCAAACCAAGGCAACAGTGCTGTCTGAGCTAACAGTGTTTACCTAAGGGGAAACCTGAGGGCTGGCGCTACGCTAATTTAGCTTCTCCTCAAGCTACTTCTCATAGCTTCGCTTTAGAGGAGATACCATGTTTAAAAAAAAATCCAGTTCGGACCAACACCCCCACAACAAGAACCTTTTCATGTTTCTATCGCCTCCTATTTACAGACAGCACAACTCTTTAGTGGGCCTCCGTAACCGCACCAGACACGACTACGAGAAACAATCGCTGTCTAACCTCATCCTGAGATTCTTCGTTGAGGCACAGCATGCTTTTGGTCATGTAGTTATTGGGAATATAGAGGCTGTGGTTCAATGAGCTCTGGTGCTCAGACGGGTCCTGTTCCATTTCCAGCTCCTGACAGGAAGCGCAGGAAGATGCCGAATCCTGGGTGCCGTCCTTAGATTCGCACTCATGGCACCCTTGGATCTGTGTTTCCCCGCTGCACAACGTCTCTGCAGCGTCCTCGTATCCTCTTGACATTTGGTTCCCACAATCCTCAGTGCTGCTGTGTGGGTAAGACTCACAGGACCGGCCCCGGTCGAGTCTTTGAAAGCTGCTGCTCCACATGGACGTGCAGCCCAAGTGCTCGTCCGCTCCTATCTCCGTGAGATCGGACACGGGTATGCTGATATCTCCGTGGGTCGGCGGGGACAGACAAGGGGGGTTGTTGGAGTCTGGGACGGAGCAGGAGCGGTTTAGAGCCCCCCTCGACCTGTTCGGCCTCTGCTGGGCTCTCCTCCTCACCGGGGAGCTGTTGTGGGACCTGCAGTCCAAGTCGTCAGCCAAGATCATGCAGTCTCCTTCACAGCTGTCCATATCCTCCGCCCAGAGAGAGAAATCCCAGCCGCCGCACACCTGCAGATTGAGTTGGTATAATAAAGTCATTTGTTTTGGGTATTTGTGGGAATAATCCTGATTATACTGCAAAAAAAAAAAAGAACGTAGATAAAGGAACCTTGGTCAATTTGCCTATGCTCGAGGCTTTATCAAAACACTTTGAATAAAGGTAACTTAAAGGAAGAAAAGAAAGCGGAGCACCACAAGAGCACAGTGCAGCACACACACAGTTATCTTGTTGTTCATCTTACTCATTAATTTTGCAGATACTTCACAAATACTTCAAAAAAGTGAAGTATTTTGTGGATACTTGGTACCCCATCACTCGGAGACTAGATACCGTTAGTGGAGGAGTGGAGCATCGCACTCCAGCGCTAACAAACGAGACCGAGTTGACCAGCTCACACTGCAGCACTTTACGAAACCCAGTCAGAAAGTGACCGCCAACGTGACCAGTTAGCTTGACTGCCATTTATGTTTCACATTGCATTACAGTGAAGTAAGAGCCTGAAAATAGAGCAATCCGAGAATCGACTTTCGAATTGAGTATCGATTCGTGAAACCAAGAATCGGAAAGCGAATCGTGGGATTCCCAAAGATTCCAAACATCTAGTGGCCTGAATGGCTTCGAATGGCAGATGCGTCATGTTGTAGTGCTTTTTTAAAATGTATTTTACAATTTTTCAGAGGAAATGAAATATCACAAACAGGTGTGCGCCCTTGACAAATTCTGTCTGCTGCTGGCATCCTTAAATGATCTATTCTTTGACAGCAGCAGTTTCCCTAAAGCCAGCGACTGTAACATACCTGCTGCCTGGACAGACCATTTGCTTTAACAGAACTGCCAGCACACAGGTCTTTGGCATTATCAACCGAGCTCGTTCTTTTAAGCAGACATCTGGGTTTGGGATGCTGCCATCTTGCCTCCCAGGAGCCTTCTTGTCCATCTGTGGATGATACAAAGACGGCAATTAGCACCGGGGGAAATCACAGCGGAGACCAAGCGGTGACGCGTACGTTGAGATGATAACATTTTTTTAAAAAGGACCTTGAAAGGTTGATACTGATTCGATGGAGAGCACCCGTCGCCCAACAGAAGACAGTTTCCGGCACACAGCTGCAGGGGAGGTATGAGACAGCCTTGCTTCAGCCAGACAGAGGACGTCCTGTGGGAGTATTACACATGTCGGTTTGTACGATAGAAATGATTATGTTCTACATGCAGACAAATCTGTCTTGCTTTAAGAAAATGATTGTATTGTATTATGGATGTCCACTGGATTATTCACATATTTATTGCCATTATGAGTTATTATTTTCTATAGATATTGTGTGAGTTACAGTGCATTATTTCACAGTTTTTGCATTTGTTACAGGGTAATATTTCCTTGATATAAATGCAATTTTCTTAATTTATTCATTCTGCATACTGCATGAAGAATTCATTCAGAATGAAACCCCTTTAACTTGTATGGGGTGTCTTTTGCTGATTCTGCGTGTGCGTATGAATATACCGTACATCCAGGCTTGTATTTCGTTACACGAAATGCCTGACGAAGGTCGCTTGTCGAAAATATTGCTATTCAACAACTTATACGTGACAGTGTGCAAGAGCTGTCACGTATTCTCCTACACACATTTCATTAATTACCTCTCTGTGTGAAGAAAAAAAGATGAGAGCACTCTGTGAAACCTGTAACGCGCTTCCAAAACGCACCACTCTGCTGAGGTAAATTATTTCAGACGTTATGAACCACAACCATCATTTCCCTTTAAGTCACATAGTTTCAAGTCACGTAACGATCTAGTGCTCTTTGCTTTTGCATTTTGTGAGGCACTCACTTGTTGATGACAGGTGTTAAATCTATATCAATATAAATCTGTGCAAATTAGTTCATCTAATAGTCATAAGACAAAAATAGACATAAATCAATGCTGCAGCCATAATTACAGTAAACACACGTGTGATTCTACTTGTGATGCCGTGCTGTACTGGGATATATTCTATGGTCTTGTTGTGTAAGGACATTACCATTCATCTCTTTGGGTCCTGAATCGGACTCTAAACGTAAATGAATTCATTATATTTGCCAGACCTTTGGGGAGTTCATGCGTTCTGTCGTGTGTGTGTGTGTCTGTCTGTCCACAGCTGATCTCGCATACTACTGGACCAATCTGCCTGATACTTTTTTCGCACATTTTTAACTGTATGCTCAAGGACCTCTCGTGGTTGCGGTGATTTACACTTTTTAAATAATTTGTTTTACTCTTTCATACCGTCATTGACTGCTGACTTCTCACTCTTTTTCAGCAGCAACGACTGCTTCAGTAGCAAAAGGCCTTTGTCGTGGCTCAAAAACTGACATCCACAGAAAGAATTGGTTTCATTCTGAACTGGAACATCTGCAGATTAATTCCATACCCGGTATGTTATGATCCATTAAACTCAGATGAAAAAATCCCTGTTTGTTGTTATCTTGGCCTCCATCTTGATTGTAAGGGAGCCAAGAGGGACAACTGACTGTGATTCAACTGTTCTTTGTTTGGGAGGGGAGAGGGAGACACCTGGTGGAGATCTGTTGTTTTCATGCAATCCCACTTGACAATTAATCGAATTTAAAGCTTAACTACACACTCACAATAACTTTATTTCAGACACTGTACTTCTTTTTCTTAACTGTATACCATGACAACACTTCTGCTGGAGTGAGATCTCTGATGATCCAACCCTTTTCACACCTTTCTATGAATCATTCTGGCAGTTCAGAAGAGTCAGCAGGGTGCCAGTACCTGCAGGAGAGGCCTGTGCTCGGGCTTCTCCTCCTGCATCTGCTCCAGCAGCTTCTGGATTTCTTCCCCCAGCTCGGCTTCCAGCTCCGGCTCGATGACAAAGTTCAGTGCTGCAGAGAGCGTAGAGCCCAAAGAATAAACATGGCCCTGCAGCCGGGTATAAAAGGAGGAGAAAACACCATGATCATCATCATCATCATCAGGAAGCAGCTGCAGCTGTGATCTTACAGTAAGTACAGAGATCAGTCTGTGAATGACTATAGAAAACGTTGAGAAAATACAGGATCTTGTTGCCATGTTGGGTGGTAATGGTCATGTGTTTGTCCATACTCGGGACAGAGCTTTGGTTTTGCTTTGCTACACTGACAGTGGACATTATGGTCAGCTCTAAGGCGGCAGCGGATTTCAACCAGGTGCTTCTGAGTTCACGTCGCAGACGCTGCTGTCACTCCCAACAATTGAAGCGGACTGCACCCGTACTTATGTGGTAAACACATGTGCAAGGCGGATCCCAGTGTGGGTCACCAAAAATAGAAGCGCGAATACTCAGCCGAAGGCCTGAGCTCCTGTTTTGCTTACATCGTTGCTTTGGCCGTGAGTAATATCTCCCTTCAGAAAAACACATTTGAGAAAAAAACGTGTGAAAGAAGAGGAGACATGTTTCTGTGTTTCGACAGACAGCCAAATTAGAATGCACAATTTATTTTTAAAATGTTGTTACATAAGTCAGCTGTGAATTTATTCCTGTTATGGTGAGAACAGTGACACCGCTTACTGATGCTGCACAGAATGCCGTCGCATCAGAGGCAGCAAAAAGACTCATTTCAAGACTGCTCCTTTCATCCAGCAGACACAGATGTATCGCAAAGTATCTAGAGATGAATGTAAAGGTGACCGAGGTCCACTCTGGAATACTGAAGGAGCATACATTATATCTTTGAATTATAGTCCTCGATGAAGGATGCGAACTTATCCTACGAGTATATGTCATCGCCTCGCAGTTACATGCCTCCACCAACCAGTCATGTTGCCGTTTACATCCATTTCTGTCCAAAATGTCATCCCTTCATCATTTTATCCTCTTAGACATTTGTGTGAAATTGTCATAATTATCATATCATTTGTTGAGACATGTGTTTTGTGTTCAATTTAAAGATATATTCCCTCAGGTCGTCCCTGAGATATCACTAGAATAGGACAGACGGACGTCACCGGCGCGGAGACAAAAAAAGGACCCAGTGAGAGAATTGCAGCAGCAGAGACAATTTATATACATTGTACTACACAGGCACACTCATACATAGAGCTGCAGGTATATTCTGACTCATCATGATGTATGTCAATACACAGATCCACTAGAGGAATTCAGGTTTCAGTACCTCACTCAGAAAAGTTACAACAAGGTCCTTCTCGTGTCTCACAAGATACAATTTAATTTTTTATACTATATTGATCCCTTTAAGGGGGAAATTTGTCTTTGCATTTGACCCATCCCTGTATAGGGAGCAGTGGGCTGCCAATGACAGGCGCCTGTGGTTCAGTGTATTGCTCAGGTACACGTCTACATATGTCGTCCCAGTCAAGGATTGAACCATTGACCTTCCAGTTCCCAGACAACCCTCTTAACCCAGTGAGCCACGGTCACCCCAAATGAGTGACTACTAGAGAATAATTCTGTTTATTTCAACTGAGGTGTTATTATTGTATTGTGGCCTAACGTTGGTATGTTCAGATACGTTGATATCTCTTATAACCTCTAAATGTAACACTTGAAGCAGTTCAGCACATCTGCTGAGGTTGAAAAGTTGTGTGTGCACAACTACAGTAGGTCAATTCTTTTGTAATTAATATTCCCCCATGTAAATAGAACTTTACAAACCTGACACGCATTAATTACAGAGAGAGAGAGAGAGTAATAATTAGACCTGATCTAAAATCAGAGGTGGAAGAAGTACTGTTTTAGGTGGCAAACCGTGCATGATTGAGTGCTGCTTCCACCTTATTCCACATTACCAGACAGAGGTGAGCTCGTAGCTGAATGTTCGCTGGCGTATGTGGGGAATTTCTCTCTCAGCAAACATCGCCACAGTGCCTGTGACTGCGTGGTGCATACTGTCCCAGGGGTGAATGTGTGCACCAGGTTCAAATCTATGAGCAGATCTGGCCTCTCTCACCTCGAACGTGCTGCCCGTGTTGTCGAATTCAGGAGGGACAAAGCAGCCTTCTGGATCATCTGCAGGGATCAAAACATGGCAATTAATCAGCACCATTAAAGACGACAGAACAGCATGCAGCATGTCATCGAAAGGGAACGAGCAGTGCGCTGGCCATTTGATGCGTAGCCATGTCGGTTCTGTACCGTGACCCGTTCTCGCTAAGCCTCCACCGCAATGAGATGCAAATCAGAGGGATGCGCTGAACCACAACAGTCCAGTGAGCTGGTGCTGCCGTTTCCCCCTCATTTGCCTAATTCACACGTCAGAGATAATCCCCGGCGAACAAGATCCGCCGATCAGAAGACGGAGCGGCCTCCTCCTCCTCCTCCTCAAATAGGCCACTGCTCAGACCGGCTACAGGAAGGACACACAGACGCACGAAAACACCACCGCTGACATGCACCCCATCGGCTGGACTTATAGGACGAGAGAGGAAGAGAGGCACGTGGAGACAGAGGGAGAGAGAGAGACAGAGTTAGAGGAAGAGAAGGAGAGGAGGAAGGGGAGTAAAGTGGGTCATGACAGATCTGGGTTTGTCTGCTGGAGGGATGATGGCCTCACAACACCTCCCAGGTGTTGTGAGGCCGATCTCCTTTTCTCCTCTCCTCCGGAGCCTTTTTCTTCTCATCTCTGCGTCTGTTTCTTTCCTCTCCAATCCTTACAATTCCTCTCCTCGCCTCCTTTCTTCCCTCCACTCTCCTCTTTTCCTTACTTGCTTGTTTTATTTCCTCTCTCCTTCTCTTTCTTTTCTTTCCCTTCTTGCTCTCTCACCTATTTTCTTTCCTTTACTATTGCATCCTCCCCTTTTTCATTTCCTTTATTCTCTCCTCATCTTTAACTTCCTCCCCTACTTTGCCTTTTCATTTCATCTCCTCCTTTTTCTCTTTCCTTTTTTCCTTTACTCTCCTATCCATCCCTGCCTATTGCTCTCCTCTCCTCTTTCATTCCTCTCTTCTTTTCCTCTCCCCTTTTTCATTTCCTTTCACTAGCTGTCCCTACTTTTCCTTTCCTCTCGCCACCACCTTGGCACCTTCCTTCCATTCATTTTCTTTCCTTTGTCCTTCCCTTTCTCCTACTCTCCTCTTTCCTATCCTCTTCTCACCTCTTTCCTTTCCTCACAACTTTTGTTTTCTTTCCTTTCCTTTCCCCTCCTTATCCATAACCTCTCCCCCGTCCATGTTCTTTCCATCTCCAAAGGTTCAATCAAACAAGAAGGAGAAAAGGACAGGCAGGAGTAGAAAAGGAGGACAAGATACTTCAGCATGTAGTGAGGAAGAACTGTGACACGGTGAAATGAGCAGTGAATAAGCAAAGAAGAAGAAAAGGACAGCCGTTATCAGTGAGTCAGTTGCCTCCGGGGTGATGGAGAGAGCTCTGTGAGTCATGTTTGCCTACTAGCACAACAGGTAGCATGAGCTGAGCACTATTCCTGATTCAACACACTTTCCCAAATGGGCTGATCACATTACCCACACGGCACAGAGGCCGTTCATTCAAAAAAAAGTGGAGCTGCTCGCGATGCTAAACCTCCGCAGTTTGTCTCGGTCATCATTGTGTGAAAATCATCGGAGGACATTTTGTTACTTTGCTGCTATGAATGCAGTTTTAATTAGCTGAAATGAACCCTATTGATGAGTCGTTGTGGCAACGGCCCCACTCACTGAGATTCATCACCACAGTCCCTCAAGGTCACTCTATTGTGCCTGTTTGCGCACGAACACGGGGCCGCGCGCGTTGGCTTGAAATGTCATGACTGATGCACAAAGAACTCAATAAAACGAAATTAACGGGGAAAACTGTGCTGGGCACGGAAGGCGGAGAACGTAGAGTTTTGATTAATGATATAGAGATGCACCGTGTACTGTGGGCACTGCATGTGGTTTCTCTTTCTATTCACAGGATGACTCACGGCCCGATCCGATAAAGCACGAACACAAATGAAGCTGCGAAGGGTTTTAGCCGACAGAGTCACCGAAGTAACTCTCCAAAGTGTCTCTATCACTAATGGAGATTTGTGTGGATGCAACATTTTAAAGGGAAGTGTATGTGAGCGCAGGTTGCCTGCTGATAGGCTAACCAAGGCGTTACCGCAACAACGATCCCCCTGGCAACTCTGACACTGTTGATTTGATCAATGCTCATCAATTATTATTTGCCATCGGGGCATGGAATAAGTGTGTGTGCCACAGTGCTGGTGTTGGTGATGAGACACAGAGCGAATGAGAGGGGAAACGTGGAGATAGGAAGGATAAATGGAGATAAATGGAGAGAAGAGGAGAGAGGAGAAGAGAGAGGAGGGATTATAATTCATTGGATGTCGCGGGGCCTCACAGCCCTGTGAAGGAGAACTACGTTGTCTGCGCAAATCAGAGCGGACCTCAGCAAAGCCCCCAGAGATCCAGTGAGACACTGATGTATTTTCAAGCAGGAATTTGCTCCTTCAAAGTGATACAGATCAGGGCATCAGATCGCTGAAGAGAGAAAAAAGAAAAGAAAAGAGGCCTCCTCTCTGGGCTAAACAGAGCTGAAGCTGCAGTTAGGGGCCAACTTCGCATTAAAACCCTGCAATGCAGTTCTGATCTACTCTGTTCTGTCTTCTGGTTTCTAAATGTTCCGGCATGAGGAGATATCTGTGCCACGAAAATACAAATAATATTGAAAAAAAAACACGTCACCAGTCAGCTTGATCAGTAGCATGACAGAAGTCATACCCAGAATATGATAAGGATATATCATGCAAAAAAAAAGGTGCAAATCAAAGGGTATACAATGTCTGGAAAGTGGTTTCATTTTTGCACAAACACATAAATGACAGCGTGTCCGTGCTGACGACTCACCGCTGAGCTGCTCCATGAAGCACACATTCCCGTGGGCGTTGAAGGCCAGCGTGTCTGGTGTGATGCACAAGGTGTGGAAGAGGTGGGAGGGTCGGATGCTCTGCAGCGCCAGGACGCACTCTGCACACACTGCCCACACCTCCTCCTCAGACAGACAGCTGTCCCGCAGGGACAGGATGTCTGCCAGAGACACGTTCTCCTGGGGACAGAATACACACACAAGAATGTCCAGGTAAGCTCACACAAACACGTGGTTCAATCATAGACAAGAAGTGGATGTAGTCGCCGGGACGTCGCCCATTGGTTTGTGGACAGCCGCTTTGAAGCCTTGAGTTTGGAATTTCGGCCGTCGCCATCTTGGTTTTGTGCAACCAGTAAACAGAAGTGACCATATTTGGACTGCAGAGGCGTGACGCCGTGGCAGAGATCTGTCATTCTTAAGGTAGCCACGCCCTAAAGAATACCCTGCTTTATGGTCTATTTTACTCTAAATAGACCATAAAGCTAAACTAAATGAACATCATGCTGTATTGAAGAAGACTTGTAACTAGAGATTGAGACCATAAACTCATGTTTACAATGTTTACTAAATAAATCAAGTCTCATAGACTTCCAAACAATCAGACTTCTTTCTGCAACCAGAGGAGTCGTCCCCTGCTGGACATTAGAAATAATGCAGGTTTAAGGCACTTAATTCATTCACCTCATTGACTTCACTTTTCAGAACCAGAGGTTGCCTTCTAGGTTCAATACTTGTGTGAGGGCAAATGTTAATGAGGATTTATTTTCTATTAGCTTGTAGCTATTTAGCTAGGTCGACCAAACGCTGTTGTCTTAACAAAATAGAGGACAGAAGGAGGCAGACGGCACCACCTAATTAGGGCTTTACCTACATAGCCATAAAAACTAGAAACTTCCAAGTCAAGTCTAGCCAGCCGCTTAAATATTGTACTACTTTAGAAGGGCTTTCAATGTGGCGAGGTTTCTCTGCAGAGCATTTCATACTTTTTAATGCCCAGCAACAGAGACGAGAAGGCAGGCAGTTCCTGTTTCCCTCCACTCGTTGAGCGCCTCAAACGCACCACCAAACAAGAGTTTTTCAAACCAGTCCCTGCTTTCTGCTGCGCTTCAGTCAGCCAACTCACGTGGAACGGATTCATTAAAATGTAAATACAGCGTGTGCAGAGTTAAAGTTTGCCGTTAAGGCTCTGGCCTCATCACTCTCTGCAGCACAGAGGGGCGCTGGAGACAGATAACGGAGTCCCACCTGAAGCCCGGAGAAACTAGATCCTACATGTGGATGCTGGGTACTACAGTTATAACGCAATGTTATCAGTAGCAGCAGCAGCGTGCCGGCTTATACGGAGTGCCGTCTTGCAAAGATACAAATAGGGAGATAAGGAAGCCAAATGGGAATGTCTGTATTGGGCTAATCCTGTGAATTAAAGGTGCCCCGTGGAGACTTCTTATAAACAAACAAAAGTTGTGTTTACATTCAATATTACTCATCAGAAAAGCATTGTGCGTATCCCTGAGGTCTAACAAATGTGCTCAATGCATTTGCTCCGTCATAAAACATTTGCAAAGCTAATCTGGAGCCATGTACAACCTGAACACTGAATAAGACGTTTTCAGGCATTTCAGTAATTAACTTTTAGGCATTGAAAAAAAACTGTGGAAGGGTTAAAGACAACTCTCAGACCGGACAACGCCGTGGTAGCGACCTGTCAATCACTAAGGTAGCCACGCCCTAAAGTATACTCTGCTTTATAGTCTATTTGACTCTAAATGGGACCATCATTTACTAAATAAACATCATGCTGTATTGAAGAAGACTGAGACCATAAACTCGTGTTTACAATGTTTACTAAGGTAATAAACCAAGTGAGAAGTAGAGTCATTTTAAATATCTGACAAATCAAGACATTTCTCATGTCATTTATGCAAAAATACTGTAAAATACTACCAATCATTGGGCAATATGGCTCAATGACAGGAAGCTTCTTGGTCTGCGTTTGTAGAGCGATCACCTTTGGTTGAATGCAGGTAAACAGTCTGTGTGGAGAGCAAGGGAGGTGGAGGACCTCGTCAACCATTGGCTATCATCTGACAAAGATGTAGCTTTTCATTAGCTTTTTTTAATTTATTTCTCTGCAATCATATGTCGATAACTGTTTATAGAGATTGGCCAAAATGTCATCTGGACGTAAAACACCAATAGCCTACAAAAAGCAATTATGTTTCTCTCAAGTTGCTAATCGAACTGCTAACAATTCACGTACACACGGAACACACGGAAGAAGAAAGAATCCCTGAAATATTGGTCGATGTCCCCAGAGGCTAAAATGTCGTCAAATCGATAGCTGGTGTGTTCTTGTTTTCTTTCCTATTTTACTAAATTAAAACTGACATGCTGTTCACTGTAATAAATATATCAATCAAGTTTAAACACAGGATCACTGGTCACTGGAAATGACCTCACCACTGGAAGATGACAGCGTGAAGCACTGACAGCAACGCTACTTTTTCGGGAGTCATCTTCAGTTTGAGAAACTGTTGAATACCCCTGTCACATCAAGGGTGGACCAAACAGCCCCTGCAACAACCTGCTCACCCTGCTGCCGTCTGGCAAGCGATACAGGGAAGATCTGCTGCTGCACCACCAGACTTCAGACCAGCTTCTGTCCTCGGGCTCAAGGAGACGCCTCAACTCATCCTCCACAAAAAAGACTTTTCCTCATGTGGCATAAAGGGACTTCAACTGCATTTTGTTATGCAACCCTGTTTTGTAGAATGACAATAAATTAACCTTGAAAAGGTCTCAACAATAGTCCTGAAACAGTGCCCTCATTTTGATACTGAATTGCTACTTCAGTATAAGGGTATTTGATGCACAAAGTACATGACAACCTGCTAACACACACACACACACACACACACACACACACACTTTTTAAGCCATGGAGTGACTCCACACAACCCGCATGCCATGAATACACTGCATCGTCTGTGATCCACTATTACCAAGTGGCCCCACTTATCCTGGCAGACGCGGTGATCTCAGAGATTCCACGTGGCATCCGGCATAATGCCGCGGTCTGATCACGACAGGATCCTCTGTTCCGTTTAGCGAGTGAACACAAAAGCTGGCCTTGACGCAGACAGATGGCTGGAAGAGGGGAGTGTGTGTGTGGGGGGGGCATCACAAAGACGCAACTGTCAAACACTATAATCATAACCATGAACTTCTTTCTTCTTCCATGGCATTATTTATGTCTATCTCTCAACTGGAACTTATATCTGTACTCTTAACTGTGTCTATCCGTTTTGCTCTCTGGCTCTCTTGTGGGTGCAGCAGATTGTGAACAAAGCATATGGAGGTGATCTAGTGGGGTAAAGCATGATTACAGGGCAGAAAAGTGCCACTAGAAGCAGCAGCAGCAGCAGCCCCATAAATAGAGGTTTCCCTTGAGAACAGTGCAGAGGGAAGTTAGAAGTCTCTCTCAACCCCCCCCCCCCAAGTTAAATATGCTGCCCTATATAAGTTTGCGCCTGAGCTCCGAGGTTGTGATGAGCCTGGTAGAGTTAGTGGATAGTGGATGTGTGGTTTGACTGAAGTTCCTTACACTTTCAAAAGTACATCTACCCCAGCACTGTTTTGAGTATAATTCGCTTGAGTAAATACATTTTATGTTACTTAATGCTTCAACTTGTTTTTTAGCTTGCGGCACTTTACAAAAGATGAGATCTCTGGTTTGGGGCCCCTTGTCACATTCAAGATGTTAACGAGGGGTTGAGTGGTACGTGGTTCAATTTCAATAGCTGTTCATGGCTAAAATGGCTACAGCTATCTAATATTTCACCAAAAGGCTAAGATTCAGTTCAAAGCCCAAAGAATGAATGCAATTGTACGCAGCAGAACTTTGTTTTTTCTTCTTTGCTGCTGCAATACTCATCTCAGGGGCCCCGTAGATTAATCTGGAGACCTTCAGAGGGGTCCCACCCCTACAGGGAACAACAACACTAAACTGAATACAGTATAGTTACTAAAGTAGGCCTACTTTTACTAAATACATTTTTGCTTATACTTCTGTAGACTTTGACTCAGGTAGACTTTCAAAAACACATAAAATATGAAGAAGAATGCAGCGTCGGTGTCATTGCCATCTGGTGAAGACACGGGGCATGGACTCACAACTTCTAAGTCTTCACACAGCTGAAGTGCTAATTATATAATGAAATAATGCTATTTAAACCCTCTGCAGTTTGAATACGTAGGCTGTCGTGGTTTCTGAAGGGGGGAGAAAAACCTCATCAGTGGGTCATTTATTAAACATCATGTAATCTAACCAACCAATAAATCCCAAAATGTGTTAAAACATTCATGTAAAAATAAAATAAAAATGTGCCTCACCTCATCCTCCAGCAGTGGGGGGCAGATGCTCCAGGTCACAACACCCGTCTCTTTCCTCAGTTTTCCCCAAGTATGTAAGCGCCTCATCGCCCCCCCGAAGTCTCCATTGCGGCCACTTTGGGTTCCCTCAAGCAGCAAAGCGAACGTCGGCCCAGACAGCGTTGTCTCCAGTCGACCCAGATAACATTTCCCTGAGCTCTCTGGGTACAGCGAGCACACTGCAAACCGGGGCGCACTAACTACTTGCTTGCTGCAGTCGCCGGTCAACTGCGGGGACACTCAGGGTCCAAAAGCGGCGCCGGAGAAAACGGGGGAAGCACGGCAATGCGCCTGAGTCGACCGGGAGAAGGCGGTGGCGGTGTTGGTGGGTGCTGGTCGGCGTTTTGAGTCTGTCATGACTACTACACCTCCACGGAAACAGACGACAACACCGAAGGGGGGATCACGAGCTGCAGCTCCGTGGATCCTCCCCTCCCAGTGGAGGAGCCCGGTGCTGGCAGAGCGGAGTGTTGCTGCCTGCATGCTACAGTTGGCTCCACGCCCCCGCGCACAGTGCAGTTTGTTTGAGTGACTCATATTCAACACTTGAGTCATTATTTTCGATTTTATTTATTGGTTTATTTGGTTAGGCACAGTGCACATTAATAAAGCAGTCCTGTAAATGCGCCAGAGTTAGCCAAGAGGCTATTTTTCATCTGTAGTCCCAAGGCGGATGTTACAAAGTCAACCTAAAAACAGAATATAAGATTACATTTACAAAGTGATGCATTATTTACACTACAAAGCATGCAGAAGCAATACAAATAGAGAGAATATTAATATAAGTAGAAACATCATTCAGGACGCTCTATTGTTAAGTACTGACATGCAACACAGACTCACTCATACAACAACATATACGGAGCATGAGGGATAATTAAGTTACATAGAAACATGGACTAGAGACAATATGATGCTGCATTGTTAGACACTACAAACATACATGTCAGAAGCACAACACATTGAAGCATGCAGAGTATGTGAAATATATAAGTCAGTCTGACACAGCAAAACAACAATAAAAGACGGGGGTTGGATGAGGACAGCAGACAGATTGAGGACAGTAAGGAGCAGGTAGTGTTGACAGAGCTGGGCACTAACTAACCATTTCTTTTAAATGAACTGGATGTGTCTAGTTCTCTAATGGTCATTGGGATGGAGTTCCATTCTAGTGCAGCTTTGACAGAAAATGGAGACTGACTGAAAGCACTTTTCCTGAGTGGGATCATGTAATCCCCTCTGGCTGCACCTCTTGTGAGCCGATGTGCAGTTGTTCTTGTGGTAACAAACTGTTTGAGCGGAGGAGAGGTCGGGCCATATATAATACATGAGACAGACATTCTCATATTTAATCATCTTTTCTCAGCTAAACAAGTTCTATTTTTTTTATATTGGGCAATGATGAGAAAGACCTGATTATTTTTTAGTGTTCTTTTATAGTAGCGGTTTTAGACTAGTGGTGCTAAGCCAGCCTGTGACCAGGTTGTTAAACAGTATCTCTTATCTGTGATCTGGCTATGACTGGATGTTAGTCCATTCATACATGTATGTGTGCTGTCAATGTCATTAGGCTAGGGTCAGTCAGTAATAGCCTGTTTGGTATCGCTGGAAACGATGAATTCCGAGCTTTCTAACGCCTACGGTCTACTTTATCGCGGAGCGCGATCATAGCTTTTCCGATATGATTGTCACTAATAGTTCACTGATAAAACACCTATTAACATGCCTGAGGATTTTAGAAAGACAACTAATTCATTTTTAAATGCTTTAGAAACCAGAAGTCTTAAAAATCTTAATTTGAGTAAATATTTTGCAGCCAAATCATAGTTACACTCGTAGAGCTCGTATAAAGGCGATAAAGTAGATCTAAGTTTATAGTTGATGTAGTTAAATACAAATCCTCTTCGGCATTGTGGAGGTCGGTTGATGGCGTTTTGCCAGTTTCAGTCTTCTTGCGTCTTCACAGTACATTTTGTTAGTGCACCCTCTGGCCTTTCGGAGAATAATCACTGACAGGACAAGGTACATAGCAAGTGAAACCCATAGTCAGACCTATGCCTAATGAAGAGCCCATCTATCTATAAACACACAGGTTCCAGTTTACAATTATTTTTAAAATGTTCTTAAAGACTGGGCTATTGTCCTCAAAATGTTGTGCCAAAAAGAAAGTGCCAGGTTCACTGGAAATGAGTGTCTGTGCTGCACTTCTTTCTAAAGAATCATCTTTTGGCAAAGATAGTGACATCTTCTCAAAATGTAGCCTGCGGGAGATTATCGCCAACTGTAGTCTGATTGATAATCGATCATGGAATTGATTTGGATGTGTGCAATGATGTCTTGACTCTAAAACTCCCCAAAAGTCGACAACTTCAACAACATCAAAGCAAGCTATCTGCTAGATGCAGTTAATAAAGTAATTCCATTATTTATTTTGCAGTATGGATTAGAATGAACGGATTATTGGTTAAATCTAACCATAAAAGTTATAATTTTGATATGTGTTGTGGAAATAGATAAAAAGGCATATCTTTGTTACCAAGCAAAAAAAAGGCCAAGTTGATTGGTTTTCAAATGAGGAAAACATCTATCTATCCATTGTGACATATATGTAACATTTCAGATCTTTGGCACTAGGGGGTAGTATTTAGAAAATATTTTCAAAAATGTGTTCCATTTAGTCTGTTTTATGTCCCCTATCATTTCCCCTTTTAGGAAAAATGTGTTTGGGTTCTTATGGGTTAAACCACTGCCCTCAATTCTCATGCATGGAAACCTAAGTTGGAGGCTTGAAAGACAAACTAGTCCATAGCTGGAGACCAAAGTAGCTCTGACAACATACCTGCAGAGGTAGTTCATTTTACTGGTTTGGGGGGGAAAGCATGTCAAGTCTCTGGAGGAATGCCAGCTCCTCGGCCATGCAAACCCCTTCTTGCTTTTATATCACTAATACAGTCACGCTCCTGCACACGCTTGTTCTGGATCAATGCTATTTGTACACACTTTGATCCACCTTAATTGCCCACTCGATTTTGAATATCACCTTTGCCAGTGATGATGGAAAGCTTGTCTGGGTGCCAGCTGAGCCCAGGGTGGCAGGGAATGAGATTGCTATTATACCGGCGGTGCCCTGTGGCTGCCGAGCAGTGATGGAGAGGCCTCTCTGGCCAGGCAGAGGGGATCCGCTATTAGATTTGTTGACGGCCCAGCGCTCTGTCATGTTGAGATAATAGACGAAAATAATTTTACTTCAGCAGCCAGGCAATTAATGAGATTGTGCATATCCTGGCATGTCCCCTCAATGACTTATTACTCGAGAACAAGGAAGTCTATTTGATCCTTGTTGGCATTGTACAGCAGCCAACTGAGAGATGCATTCAGAAAGTATTTCATCTTCAAAAGGATTAACTGTGGAAGCATCGCACAGCTCCTCGCTGCTGGGAACAGCTGAATCATTAATGTGAGGAAGCGCTTGGCGGAGACGAGCTTGACATTGGAATCCAAAGTTATCTGTTTTGTCTGTTGTCACATATATTAGACATACTCTTGTTCATTATTTGTACTTTTCACTTCCTTTCATTCTGATTCAGTGAGTTAACACTGAATGACAAAATGGTCGATTTGCTTTTTTGGGTTAACACGTTCAAGCAATGTTGCACATTATGCCACGCCCCTATCAATGATGTCACAACAGACCTGTTACAGCAGGTTTATCATGAAGTGGAGCGCGGCAGGTCCTTTGAGATCATTCCCAGAGTCTCCTGTTATATCATTCATTGCTTTCTCTTTCATTTTTAATTTGCCAGGCAGTCACTAACTCACCTGTCGCCCCCCAATCAAACTTGCAGTTGACCTCAGTTTTTTCCCGCCAGTTCCAGTTACCTGATCCCAGGCGGCAACAGTCTACTCCTGATCCCCACACCCACCCGTGCACATGCTTCTCATTTCTCAGCTACAACACGCCATGACCACGGCCACTTTGGAGACAGGAAGTGTAATGCGTCATCTTTGTTATTAGAGCATTTTTTGCTTAATAACTAGTATAACGAGAAAGTCCTCTAAGGGTGGAAGTGTCTGTGGATGACTCTAACAAACACAGGACTTCACCCAGGAGGTCACTGTCCGTGTCCTATGCGAAACCAAAATAAACGAAATGTGAGCTTAAAATTTGTTACATTCAATTTTTACGGTTGTTACATAATGTTACTTAAGAAAGTCCACTACGGGTGATGTTTTTTTATTCATGCCAGTTCCATTGTTACGGTTGTTACTGTTACGTTAGGTTGATACATTATTATTTGAACACAAAACTCTTTTTTCTAACATCATCCAATTCGCTACATAAACCCAACCAATCATTTCACAAATTACGGGACATTGTGTGTTTCTGCAAGCGTGATACAAGGCTATGATGAAAGGTATTTATGAAACGTACTTAGTTCAGAAACATCAACATCCAATGTATCCCGTGGTTTTCAGAAATGTACATTGCCAACATTTGTTCTGGCGACTGGGTTGCATTTCCATCTACACTTTTTCAGATCGTCTACTGAGGCATCCAAACCATTGCGATCCAGCCTTTCTGACATCTAGTTTATGCCCCTTTGGAAAAGGTTTGCCTGTCACATCAAACAAGAACACTTTTTTTGAACTCCATCTGCCGTCTGTGAGTCATACTTTTGGGTTCAAACCTTGTTTGAAAGTCACAACAGAACTGTCGGGATAGTATGTGAAAACACAATGTGATAGAACAGAGTTTTTTGTTTGGGCATGATTGAGGATAACACTGCTTATCACTACAGTTCATCTCTGAGTCAAGGAATAATCTAGATGCATGTTATGAAATGCTACAAATTCTACGTCACTGTACAAAAAATGTAGGATACAATATTTTTACACATTTTTTGTAACTCTTTTAGATGAAATGGCTTATTTATGTGACTCAAATCAATGCAAAATAAGTCACTTGTAAAAAGACCAATTTCATAGTTGATTCAAGCGGATTTGTTGATGTGAGACACGATGCAGCAGAAACTTCATCTAGGTAGTCAACAGTGGTGTTATTACTGTACTTATGCAAAACCTATTGATGAAATACCTCCTCGGAGACTGCATAGTACACAGTGATCCAATTTCACTTTCAAAAACTGGTTCAAAGCTGGCGTTAGTGCTGATAGCTAATTATGAACCTGTCTAAACCACCAGAATTCTGGCCAAATCATAAAATACATGGAGAAGAGCCAGCTCACGTTTCGTTTCCAGAAAACAGATGGTTGTGTGAGTCTTCATTATCCATAGAGGCACAAACCTTTTAATAAAGAATAACTGCTCAGTAAATCTTTTATGGGACCAGATCATTTCACTTTTTTTCTTAAAGGAGCTGGATCTAACATTCTGATCATTAATACAGTAGCAAAACAACTATTCTCTTTGTAAAGATGTAGTGGAGTACTGTCT